CAACCCTTTATTCATAATAGACCTCGCTTCCAATGCTATGTCTACTAACAGGTCTACCGACTCTCTTCGTGCTAGCTCATCTGACCACAGTACTCTTATATCGGACATCAATTGCTATAAGTGCCTTTAACTTAATACAACCATTTATTCATTATAAACCTCGCTTCCGATGCCATGTCTACCTACAGGTCTCTTGACTCTCTTCGTGCTAGCTCATCTGACCACAGTACTCATATATCGGACATCAATTGCTATATGTGCCTGTAACTTTTACATCCCTTTATTCATTATAAATCTCTCTTTCAATGCTATGTCTACCTATAGGTCTCCTGACTCTCTTCGTACTAGCTCATCTGACCACAGTACTGGCCTTCCTCATGTGGGCTGGAATGAGATCGGTGGGCAGGATGTCGCGGGTCTCGTGGATCGGTACAGGCTTCATGTGGTATGTGACGGTAACAATAACCGTTCACCTGTCATGTCGCATGTTGAATAAATCTGTGGATAGCAATACACTTCCCTTGTGGTGCGCCCGTGCATCTCTTCTGTGGCTGCATATGCCCAGGCGTAGGCTAAGTGTCTGTCCACTATTGATTAGGTGCATATCTCGTAAGTTTGAATAGCGTGCATGTGATTATACAAAGTACATATGACTGATCACGTGTATGTGGTTATATAAAGTCCATATGATTAATCACGTGCATGTGATTATGAGGTACATATGATTAGTCAAGTGCATGTGGTTATATAAAGTACATATGTTTAATCACGTGCATGCGGTTACAAAAAGTACATATGATTAAGCACGTGTGTGTTGTGTGCATTAGATATTAGCACTTCACAAGTCTTGTGGATGTCTTATTCATAGACCTGAGCTTTGGCTTCATTTACTATGCACCCCCAGGGGAACACCTGGCATGTTTCATTCTGCTAATGTGTGCCATCTATCAGTACCCTTTAGCGGTATGCGCTTGTTAGTCCCTAGCTAAGGCTGACATCCGCCTTGTTTTCATGTGCAAAAAGAATAGATCAATAAGTATCATTCCATTCACATCACCGTGAGGCAGTATCGCGAATGTGTTCAACTTCAACTTTAAAGTCAACAACGTGTCTGGATATTAATTTATACACTTTATACAAGATACATCGTATTGTAGGTTTAATGTGTTGTGTGTAACAACTTGCCTGGATATTAATCTATACCCTTTGTGCTTGATACATCGTATTGTAGGTTTGGCGTATTGTACGTGACAGCGTTCGCGTTGGCCAGTGAGAACAAGTGGGTTCTTTTCTCCGCCATAATGTTATATACGTTCCTCTCGTCCAGCTTCCCGACAACAGATCAGGTGCGTGTGCTTGTTTGCGGATTAGGTCACTACGTTTTCAATTCCGTGAACTATGCGGCCCTACGCGTTAACTAGTCTCCTATATCAGACGATGCGATTAAACATACATACACGCTGCAAGGAATACCGTTTGCAATCACATATATCTGGCCTAGTCCTTCGATAGTGTTTGGTATCAGTCGGAGTCGATTGTCCCAGCACTGGCAGTCTTACATTCTACCGGATAATAAGTCTCGTACAGACCTCATGTCTCTG